CACCAGAAGGCCACGCATAGCAGACCGGGCGGGTGCCAGGGTTCTCGGGGTCCTTGCAGATGCAGCCGTACTTGGTCGCAAGTGTCACCTATTCGGTGCTCTCCTTCACACCTAACGATGGTGATTCTTGCTTGCTCACTGCTAGGTTAAGGCCAGTAACCCACTGCAAGGGATTCATCGAAAAAGTAGCGTAAAGTTGAATATGAAAAAAAAAGCCAAGGTGCGCGGAGAAAAAAAAAAAACCATGTTCACATATTTAAAAATAATGTTGGTAACTGCATGTCCCACAGGCAAACTTATCACTAACAGAATATCATGAAATGAAATTCAATCAATCAATATTTTGTTGAATTACCCAAGGTCTGTTTTTACGTAGGTAACAAGGTATATCCTTCTTGTCGCAGCCGAAAATCCACAGATAGCCATACAGGCCTTTCTGCTGATACAGTTTCATCAAAAGTGCCGGCGACAAAGGTAATTAGTTATTATTTATTATTACACCTATTTATATATTTGGAAGTATCTTGCAGGCCTTATATGTAGTATCATTGAAGGGGGTGTCAAATTGACAACTTATTGCAATTTGTAATATACAACGGTTATAGAGAATCATTTTTTCTTTGATTTGCGAGTGCTAGAGGAGATTGAATAAATTTTATTAGTTAAAGCTTTTTGCTGCCATGATGTAGAGTAGATGGCATCAAAGTTTCATCATGGATGCTTCCAATGTGCGTGTTGGACATAATTGATTATTTCTCATAAAATCAAAATGTCTAGATACTGGAGGTGGCGTAAGCTTCCGGACTTAGCTTCACTGAGGTAAGATGTAAATGAAATTACTTGCGTAGCAATATTTCTCAGGGATTATCGCGTGAGTGTATAAAGTTATAGAAGGTCATGGCGCCGCTTGTTTGCCGCTTGAACGTCATGGCGCCGCTTGTTTTTGCACAATCAGAAAAATGATGTAATTTTTTCTCCACGTTCCATCAGGGGAGTTGCTTCGCCTGGGCAGAAACGTCACGCATGACGTCACACTTTCACAGAAATTTCAGTGAAAGACCGCACCAAAGTATACCCGAGGTGTGTCTCGCCAGAGGGATAAAACGTTCATATTGAATTTCAGGGGTAGATCGCGAGCAGTCGGCCGGACCACGATGGGAGCACAAAGATCCGAGTGGGATTTCTCTAGTGAGATCTTCGAAGGGAACTCTTGTGCCTCAACGGGAGCAGCTATAGTACACGGGAATCTAGCAAAATGGTGCGAAGGGCAGGAAACGCTGTCCTGGGCGTGAATGAATAAAGACATTTCAAAACCAGTAGCTTAGGAATAATTGTTTTTGCAGTGTGAATTTTCTTGAACCTTTAATAAGTTCTTGCAATGCATCGGCAACTTTCCCGTACAAAGCCCCCAAAAGGTGAGGGAGGCTTGGAGAAGAAGCTGAGGAGTAGCTTGACTGGCTTCTGTCCCCCGAAAGCAGACATCGGCGATTTTACAGCAGTGCACTTGAACAGCCTTAATAAAAGGGTAAATAAATGGCAAGTAAGAAAAAAGATGGAAGAATGGAGAAGCAGGATGATCAATACCAATGAAAAAACAATTTTATTGAGTATACTTACCCACATTGTAACAACGTCTAAAGTAAAATTACATGACGAATTTCGGAGTGTTGGAGACTGAAACAAAATAAGCTCTGATAAATACCGAACTGTTTCCCAAAAGATGAACTCCGACAAACGCCCTTTGAATATTAACAGAGATGAACTCCGATAATACGGTGCGCTAATTACAACCCCCTGAAAGTTTATGCAATTTTAAACCCGAGGACCTAATTATATATGTGTAATCAGTTGCATAGTTATCTCCCTGCATTTTGTACTTACAACATGTTTGCGTAGTTATTTTGCTCCTTTAGACCTGGCACAAAAGCTTCTAATGTGTAATAATTGTCGCTTCATAAAGATCGAACTCTAAAGGTACCCAGTATATAGAAAACAAGAATGTCCATTGTTTTTAATAAGATGTATGAGATTTATGATAATAAAAGTAGTACCAATACTGGATCTGCGTATTCGTCATAGCTTCGGCAATGCTAAAACATGCCGATAGCTCATCCGTAGTCACATCTTTCATCCCGTACGTCATGCAATTTTTTTTCTGCATGCAGCACAAACCCTGAAGTGTACGCATGATCGCGTCAAGTGCATTTTTATCTCGAATAAACTGTTGAACTGTGATGTTCCGTCGACAACCAGTCACCTCCACAGGCCCACAACGAGTGTCAATGTTTTCGCAGACAAAATGTGTTGTGATCACACAGCACACACCATACACCGTAATATTAGTCGCATCGGCCGTGAATGTGAACCAATATTGCAATGCCTTTCAACGCACACTACACTACAGAATAAACCCTGCCCATTTTTGAAGATGCCGCCGTTCCGCGCATTGGCCTGCACGTATGTCCACTTCTCCATGTTAACGGCCAGCCAGCGCGGCAAGCTTTTCGTCACGTGGTTTACCACACACCTAGATGTTCTCTGTCACATACCATGGCTAATCTTGCAACGATGTTTCAGCTTTTAAACAAATTGCGCCAAACGCTCTGCGACTGTATTACGCTGAACCACAAGCAGGGGTGTTTTGCCAACTGTCACTTTCACTTTGTACATTTGGCGGTGATGTCAGGCTGTGACGTACAATGGGAGAGGACCATTGTACTGGAGCCCTTTCCGAAAGCACTGTCGGGGGAAAGAAATATACAGCTCCCGCTCAATAGAAGACCCAGCTGGTTTAAAACAACCTCACTGAAACGCATCTGTTTGCCGTCATGGCTCGACACTAGGGAGCTTTAGAATAGCGCACCGCGAGCCCTTGCGGTGCGGTCGCTGCCACAGCGCATGCGTCGTAACGCGAGTCGGCGTTCGCACACCGCACGCAGAAAATCCGAAATTGCATGCGGTGATGGCGGCCCGCATGTGGCCCGCAAGCGCTGGTTTCGAGGCTACGGCATCGCTGCAATCGTGCGTTGCGGTTCGCAGCAGAACAAACGCTATTCTGAAACATTTATGGCGCCCGCTTCGCCCGCAACGCCCACAGCTCGTGCAAACGGTATTCTAAAGCTCCCTGTAGACCTTTTGTACAAACGACGGCCACACTGGGCGGCGGCGTCCATGGTAACGAAGGAAACTATTACAAAAGCGTGCGTCCGCCGGGCTCCATTGTTTTCTATTCAGCCTCCGTTATGGTAGTGGCGTCCCACGCGATTCTACACTGAAGTTGTAGCTGCGGTCGCAGGAGCGCTCTGTCGTCTACTTGATTCAGTAAAACTCAACTAGCTTGCCTTCATTTTGAGAATGAAGGCAAAACATATCACTTCCTCACCCGGTCGTGGGGAAAACAATCGCGTAGAACGCCGCTTGCATAACGAAGGCGGAATAGAAAAGAACGTAGCCCAGCGGACGCGCGCTTTTTGTGGTCGTTTTTTCTTTTACCATGGACGCCACCACGCAGTGTTGCCGTCGTTTTTGCAAGGGGTCTATTAACGAAAAGACAACACTCCACAACCTTGATCAGGTACGTCGTTCAACTAAATTGCGAAGAGAGGCTCCCCGCCAGCCAGCCCCTGAACGCAAGAAAAAGGACACCAGCAAGCGAAACCTTCTCTTCCTCACGCGCCCATAGCGTCCACGTGCCCACGGCAAGCCCCAGATCGCGTCGAAGCAAAAATCTAAGAAGGAAGGAGGTTTCCCAAGTGCCCGTTTGTTCCCGAGCAAGCCCCTCGGAAGTGAAGCGAGTGGTGCAGTCTGCGGACGACTGGTTGCTGACTTTTCCCCTGTCCCCCACTCGCCACGAGCGAGTCACAGATCCCATCCGCGGCAGTTCAACTGCTGCCTCCAAGCAGCAATGAACACATTTTAACCGTTCCAAGTTACACAGGTACGCACACCGCACGTCAGTCTTTGGGCTGATGACAAGACCGGACTTAAGAGATATGTTCCATTCCCTCCCAACACGTGCACATAAAAAGTATCGTTGATGCCTCTTGTTGTTCTGCTTAGCGCTTTGTCGTGAAGGTTTTGTTCCACTTCAATTCATAGCTTTATCGATGGCAATTCTATCGTTTCTAGTCTGTACTGCCGCTAAAAGCGACCCCAAAGTGAAACAACGAATTGCTTAGATTGGCGAATTCGGTTTAAGAACTGTAACGTGGCTAATGTTTACATCGCATGCCTTTTAATAAAGGTGCAAATCATGATCAAAGTTTCATTTTTGAGTTCTGAGGCGAAAGTTCCGCATATGATGTCACGGATTTCAATTTATTATTTCTTCTCATATTTCTAATACATCGGCTTCACCAAAGTTTCTTGAACTGGGTACACTATGGCCATGGCCCCTGCAGATTACTATGCATTTAATTTTTACCTAACAGGAGCTACGTAGGTTGTAGTACTTACCTTGAAAATCTATGACGTCACGGGGCCATTGATCTTGGCAGCCATCCCGTGCGTAAATGTTCATGGTGTACCAAGCTATAATACGATGCTCTTCGTTAAGCGGCGAAGGAAGATGAAATTGATTTCATTCGATTTACCCAAGTTTGCGCGCGAAAGTGACGAATTCGTTACGATAAACTACGCATGCGTTCGAAAAGTGTTTTCCACCAGTAACTGTTTCCCCGGACGTCGCGTCATTTCCAAATAAGCAAATTGAGTCATGGTTGTTTCCTTTTTATTTTGTTTTACTACAGCACTAGCAACTGACCAGTGGTCAAGCGCGCGCGTTGAAGGCATTGGCACTGCTATCTCGTAGAACACTCGTGACGAAGCAAAACTGAACAGTCCGCGCAGCAGCAACCAATCTCGGGGCCACGTCTTCGTTTTCCCAGACGAATTTTGAAGTTTTGTCGCAGCGCAAAAGAGGACGCTAGTCGTCCGTCAAGACGGTGCTTCAGTTGAGGGCGAGGTAATCGATAAGTTTGTTCAGACGTCATAGTCACGTGGAAATGCCCGCTGGCATATTGTCGCACTCCCGCCTCCTTCCGCTAGTAATCCCGAACGCGTTGTCTGTCAATCACAGTTTCAAGTAGTAACAGCAACAACCAGGAGTTCGCGATGCCTGAAGGTGGCGTCGGAGACGTAGTTAGAGGAACTGGTGAAGGAGCCCAACCTGCTATGAAGGTGAGTGTTTGGTCCTTATTTCGTGCAGCTTCAGTGTTTTGGCAGGTTTGGGACCGCGGAATGGTTCTCGTGTCGCTGCCAGCTTCGCGTGGATTACTGCTCGTCGCTAGCAAAAAACTTTCCCATCGTTTAGCGTCGGCGAACGCCCCCCTCCTCCCCCTCCGTGCGTTCACTGAGATCCGGTGATTCATGGCAGCAGTGAGAAGCGCTTCGACACTCGCGAACGCTACGAGTGCCATTCGGGCCGAGTAATGTTGCAGCCTCCCAAGCAGCTGCACCTTTTTGGCGCGTAGTTTGAATCCTGTGTTTGTATGCTGCTTTTTTTTTTGGTCACCGATGGCGTGCACGTTATCTGCGCGCGCTGCCCCGCCGTGGTGGTCTAGTGGCTAAGGTACTCGGCTGCTGACCCGCAGGGCGCGGGTTCGAATCCCGGCTGCGGCGGGTGCATTTCCGATGGCGGCGGAAATGTTGTAGGCCCGTGTGCTCAGATTTGGGTGCACGTTAAAGAACCCCAGGTGGTCTAAATTTCCGGAGCCCTCAAGTAGGGCGTCTCTCATAATCATATAGTGGTTTTGGGACGTTAAACCCCACATATCAATCAATCAATTATCGGCGCGCGCTTAAATTTCAGATAGAAAACTAGTTTTCAAGAAAAGAAACGCAGATTGATGATATCGTCGAGGCAGTGAGGCCGTCATAGCTGTCGCTCCAGTGTAGGAAATATTCCCATCGTTCGTGCGTCTTCAGCTGCAGGGAAATGTTATTGATGTTTGACAATAGTTATTGGTGTGTTGGCATAACAGTACACTTAAACGCACTTGAGGGAACTGTCAAGCAAGTGAGCGTTCTAGTAGATTAGTATTTTAAGAAAGTGCAAGACAACAAAATATAGCGCATATAAACGAAAACCACAGTAAGACTCCCCTTCGTTTCTTGCTACGCGCTTTTTTGCTGCTTTCCTTACTGTGCTGACTTTCTTTTTTTTTCGCGCTTTCTGCCATTATGGACTCCTGCATCCATCGCTAAAATAAGGTGACACGCGGAAGTGGTTACCAGTCCGTTAGAACCGCATCGCCACGCCGTCTAGCGTTCAGCGTCTGGTGTCAAGACGTCGCAATGCGCGTGCGCGTCTTTCGCAGGAGCGCCTTCACAGCCTTCCTCAGTAGCACAAAGTCCTGTCTGTAGCGCAGGATTCCTTTTACGAAAGAGTCTCGTTGTCCAGTGGATCTAGTGCATTGCAGAGTGACTGTCTGTGCGACTCAGTACTGCGGGCATTCACGCAGAACAGCGGAGTGTGTCACTTTATCACTAGGAAAGGCATAGTGTGCGCCTTCCAGTCATCATAGCAGACAGGTCTCGTGCCTCCACATGTGGTCTGGTAGCAATGCGTGATCCCCATATAGTCGGACATTATTGCTTCTGTTCAAGTTCGGATATATATACTCTGGCTGGTTCTGTTCTAAATCTGATAATACTCCGGCTGTTACGTGCTATCTGTCTGATAGCACGTAGCAGCCGGAGTATATACTGTGCTACGTGCTATCTGTCTGATAGCACGTAGCACAGTAAGCTAAGCGGTGCATCCTTCACCGAGCATGCCTCGTCGAACTGAGTGCGCGAAGGATTAAGGAAAGCAAGTGACCCCCACCGCATAGCGCCATATGTATTCAGTTTGGAAGCGAGTAACAAAGAAATACATAGCTGCGAGTATTAAGGAATGCACACTGTGATGTCTCGATACCATTGATGTCTGACTATTAACTGTCGCTACTCGCGCGTCTCACCCTATTTTGCCGATGGGTGTACAACTTCGCCCTGCTGTCCGTGTTTGTTCGAGGAGAAGCTTCTTGCTGTATACTAATACTCGTTTCAACGCGTTTTTATGTCTGTAATGATGACATACAAAATTGCGCGCCAGCTGGGCCTACAAAGTTTCCGCAATTTCTGATGAATAATCACCAGTAATTTCACAAAAACTGTGCAGGCTCCGCTGGAACGCAACAGAAGTGTTCACGCGGCAGACATGTTTACACCATGTCTGTGTTTCAGGATTTATATGTGTGACCGCTTGTGTCGTTGGACGTGTCGCCTAACGTAACATCTATAAACGTGCACCTGGCGCTAGTTCTTTCACCCATGATTTTTTCTAGCCCCCCCCCCCCCTCCCTCCCCGAATTTCATTATGCAGTGGCCCGCACGCGCCAGAGTGAGCCTATACCCACACGCAGCTCGCCAGTTCGTTTGTGGTGTGATGCGGGAAATCGCATCATCAGTGCGACCTTTCATCGTTGCGTTATTGCACACCGCTTGAACTATGTTTCAACCGGTTTGAAACAACTTTGGAGACGAACTAGTTTTGTGCCTGTGTCCGTCTAGTCCTTCCTATTCCGAGTGTTCGTCTTGTAAAACCCCTGGCTTCACGCTCGCCTCTGTTCACGCTACGCGCGCTCACGACAGTTCTTTCAGAACACGGATGTCTCGCTTGTACTAGGCCTAATGGCGCCGCCGCTCTTTCACTCTCCGCAGCGTCGCCAATTGGCTTATTTGTCCCCCGATTGCGAGCTGTAGGGGTCGCGGCACGTGCGTTGCGGCTGTGCGGAAAGCGCGTGGAACGGCCCTTAAAGGGCCACTAACCAGGCCCCATACCGAATTTTAGTCAGACAGTGGAAGTAATTGGCTGTCCTATGAGGAACATTTTGCCACAAATTTTTCGAATCGGTTCATCACGAGCGGAGAAAACCGGTTTTTTGAAGCGGCACAAAACGAGGATGAGAGGAGGCGAACTCGAAACCCTTGCCGCTCCTCCGCGTAGCCTTCGCAAGCCAAATCTCTTCCCCCCCCCCCTCTCCGGCACCCGGCCATGAGGTGACGTGCGCATGACGTGCCCAAACAAGTCCAACCCCCGAGAACGCGAGCAGTGTTGCTTTGTTGACCAGCGTTATTTTGTGGTCTTCTGCCTGTTTCTGCGGGATGGTTTGGAAACGCTAGCATAGACGCGGTAGAGTAGATGAGCACGATGTGTGCGCGAACGCATAGGAGCGTTCCACAGTGGTCGTTTGCTCAATGCGCTGACCCCGGGGACACGAACGCATAGGAAACTCTGGCACATTAGCCTCGCATCTCGTAGCATTCCATAGGAAAAGAATAAAAGTGCGCAAAATTTTTTATTGCGCCTCATTATTTATTTCATGTTTTATTAATTTCTTGAAGCAACAAATACAGAAACTACGCATATTGTGTTAAATAATTTTGCCATGTCACGTGGTATACTGCTGACAACCTCAAAGCAGACTCGTCTACGTAGAGGACCAACGTCACTGCATTGCCGTGTACGTAGGGCCATTCCCACGCCTACGGCATGCCCTCATTCTCTACGCGTGCGCCGGCAGAGGGAAGGGGGAGCAGCTTTCGTCTTGAAATTTGACCCATTCCCGCGGCGCGTAGCGTTGCAAATTCTGGCAGACGTGATCATAAACGCCTCGTCTACGCATTTCGCTTGTCATCTCAAAATTGTCAAACCTGGTGAGTGGCCCTTTAACGCATGCGTCATGCGGTACTTACTTAACTGACCGCTCTCACTGACACTGGAAGTCCTTCATAAACGCACTGCTAGGTTCATGTATTCGATTTCATTCGGGTACAACACGGCGCACTTGTTTGTTCTCGCAAAAAAGTCCACCTCAGTGGGACCTGTTCGCACGTTGCTTAGCTGCTGGCCCAAAGGTTGCGGGTTCGATCCCGACCATGGAAGTCGCATTTCGGTGGAGGGGAAATAGTCGAGGCCCTTGTACTGTGCGATGTCAGTGCACGGTAGACACTAGGATTGAAATTACCGGAGCCCTTCACTACGGCGTCTCTTATCGTATCTTGGTTTCGGGACCTTGAATATTTTTAACTTTGCTATTCCAAGAAAAATTGGACTTTAAATTTTCTCGTTAGACATCTGTAAGTACGTGTTACGGCTGTAATGTGGCTCTACCTTCCTGCCATACAACACTGTACAAATATAGCCCTGTCACAGCCGGACAACCTCAGTTTCAGGAACTGCACTCCATCGCTAGTATTATTCAGACGCTGTCTCTCGGAAATGCCTAGCGACACTCGCTGCGAAGCATGCTTTCGAGTGAGTGCGATCACTAAACTGTCTTCGCTGTGATTGTCTAGCTTGGGTAGCAGTGGCTCGAGAATGCCATTAGGTGAAGCTGAGTTCATACCATTCTTTACTATCGTTTTCTTCATTCTGAATATTATGCATTACTGTGTACGATACCACTCCCTCTTTGGCAGTTTTCAGCCACGCCTTCAAGGCAATGTCGAGCACACGCTGTACAATGGCCACAGCCACCATGTTTGTACTCAATGCTTATTGCAAGGGCGGCGATAGCTATAATACGTTTTCACCCGAGAAACGTTGCCTGGTATGATAAGTCTGGTTTGCTACTTCAGTACCCATCGTCATTACCATTGTGTACGCGACTGTAACAGCAATGTCACACACCGCGAAAGACAAGACTGGACTATGACTGAGTGTGCGCGCGTGTGCTGCCGAATGTGCTGTTTTCTCTCTTCCATCTCTGCTCTCCTTCATCTCCCCCATCCCTCTCCCATGCGCAGGGTAGCAAACCGCCTGCCTATAGCCTGGTTAATTTCCCTGCCTTTCTTTTCCCTCTATTTTCCTTCCTTCTCTTGTGTAGCAGTGGGCAGCCTTATTGACCCGGGAGCGTGGGGGAGGGGAGTAAGTGCAGTCGCTTCAAATGACGCCAACCAAATTTGTCAGTGTGACCGGGGTATTACTCTTTTCGTTTCGGGACAAGTCACCTGGAACCACCCTCCCACCTCGATATCCAGCATTAAAAAATACCCATGTTCCAAGAACAGTAGAAAAAATAGTGGCCCAAAATGCAACAAAAGAAAACGACGCCTAGTAGTCGCACTACGCATGGCCTTACGGCCGCACTTACGTTTCCTGAATTACACGCTTTGCTGTCTTCCCAACTTGGCTGTTTATGCTTTGGGACCTAAATTTTTTAATCTCACTGCCCTTCAGTATACGAAGGCTGTAAAACCATACCTGTTCACAGCCGGACTTTGTTGCAGCCTGCATTGCTATAAGTCACCTGAATGGTCGAGTTTCTGTACGTGTCTTGTAATCGCGACGTTCCTCTGTTTCTCTCGTACGCAGGGCGACAAGGGCTCAACTCTTGCAGGATTCGCCAAAATGCTCGCCAGTGCCGATGAAAGTGTGTTCCAAAGCTCGGAAAATGTAATCAATATCTTCAAAGAGGTCGATGAGACCTTCTGCGATGCATCCACTTGTGTCGCCGATCCATGTACTTTTGCAGCCACTTACTCATGTTGGGCGGTGAATTGCCAGCAGGGCTGGAACGACCTGTTCAACCCTCGAGGCGCCGAAGTCCTCCAGTTGAAGAGGGGTCTGATCTACTTCCGAACAATGGATGTGAATACGGAAGATTTGGATTCTCTCGCTGACATCAAGTACCTGTGTCTGTACCTCTGGTTTTTGCGCCAGCATAGCTGCATCTCCGCGGTCTACATCTCCCTTCCGGTCCTGGCGCCCCGGCACCTACCCCTCTTCTTGTCCCTGCTGAAACTTACTGATGGTTTACGACAGTGTGAAATCAGGGGCAATGATCCGTTCATGGAACCTTCACTTCCCGTTTGCGAGTTTAGATTACGACCTCTGAGCCCTCTGTCCAAACTGCGAGAGCTGGGGCTGGCCGCGGTTCGTTTGACTAACTGATGACGTCAACATCCTGGCCCGTGTCGTGGAAAGAAGCGAGATGCTCGTCGCCCTCGTGCTCATCGACGTTGAGATGGGTTCGGTTGCGTTCGCCGACGTCGTCGCCAAGGTTATTCAACACAAGAAGCTGCAGGACTTTCGCGTTAAGATGAAAGCTGTAGAGCCCGAGACTATTTTTGATGAAGCCCTCGGTTTGATCGGCAGCTCGGGCAGCCTCTTGAGGCTGCACGTCCACGTCGACCGTGGTTTGGTGAATCTGTTGCGGGGCCTACAGGGATGCACGACGCTGAACGAGCTAATCGTGGAGAATATGATCGAAGACGCGGAAGCGGTCCGCGCGCTCGCCGACTTTTTGGAGAAGCAGCAGTCTTGCAGGTGCTTGAAGGCTTGCATCAACACAAAGATGCTCGAGTCTGTGTACCGCGTGCACGACGACATGGAGCGTATCATCGGCAGCAGTTCGGTAGAAGTCCTCATACTCTCAGGGTCTGTGTTCGCACCTCAGTCGGTTAAGCATCTCGTCGACGGGCTAGCGGCGAGCAAGATGTTGAAGCAGCTCCACTTGGACGATACCCAGCTCGCGTGTGCTGACGTATTTCCCTTTGTGAAGGTTGTTAAAGTACGCTCGAAGAAAGGCGGGTTCGAGGAGCTCAACCTGGGAGAAGTCTCTGGCAGCGAGAACGAGCTCTGCGATTTGTTAAGGTTCATGACGGACGCAGACGTCTGCCACCTGATCACGCTTACGTTCCACGAGCGTCTCATACCAGCCCTGAAAGAGTCGGCTACGAATAGCGGCAGGTTTTCCAAGGTGACCCTTTCATACGTCGAAGCAGAGCAAGCCGAACCCGCCCTTCAAGCGCTTAGGCTGACGGCGAGCACGTTGAAAAGCATCTGCATCGACTCCCCACAAGTAAGTTGTGCGCAAGCGAGGCTTTGGGTCATCCTGTTTGGTAATTCAAAGATATGCACACTGATGCGGGAAAGTCCTTGCGCTCGAACGTGTGACCAGGTTGTCATAGCAGCGGAGTCTGTTGTCGCACTGCTAAGTTCGTTGACAGCAGTTTGATGTGCGGCCAGCATTTTCACGTGGACGTAGTTAGCGGCCTAGTCTACTTGCATATAAGCACGCGTTGAAAAAATTCGAGGGGGTAAATACTGTTCTGAAAATTACTGCTGCGGCATACGTCGCTCTAGGCAAGCATTCTGAGGAAGCTCATTTGAATTCATGCCACGTCGGACATGACGGCAGTATATCTTGTCACGCCTGAATGACGCGCGAATGCTGTCTTTCGAATCGTTAAAACGGAGTGCGCTTACTGACTAGTGGGGGCCGCATCTCGCTTCCTTGTGCACGCATGATGCTAGGGGTAGTCATTTCGAGTGTACCGGTGGCTAATCTTTTTTTTTTGTTGTGTACCGCGTTTGCGTTATTCTATATTCCCTGGCCAATGAAACTCAATATCTTCCTGATGTTTTATGCGTCGCCTCCGTTCGCAGGACATCAGCATTCTCGGCGGCCAGTTCCTGGCTTACCTCATCCGCAACTGCAAGTCTCTGACAGTTCTCCAGCTGAGGTGCAGCACACAGGCAAAGGCGGCCAGGCAGATATTCAAGGCCATAGCCCAGTCCAAGAGCCTCGTGGTTCTCTCCATCGAACGCTTGTGCTTTGAAGACAAGTTGTATCCGGACCTCGTGCACCGCGACCTCGTGGACATGCTCCGGCAAAACCAGAGCCTACATCGGCTCGAATTCTACCTTCGAGATGTCCAAGAGTACGAAAAACTGAAGCCGTACCTCGTTGAGGGTCTCTCCGCCCACGAGTACCTGACTTCACTGAAGATCTACACCGGCAAGGTGCGCAAAGAGCTTGTCGTGCGCGAGCCCGTGATCTTGGAGTGTCTAGGGAGTCTAGTAGCGACAGTGACTGTGACGTAGGCAAATCCTAAATATTACGCATTTCTAGGTTAATGGCAGGTGTTGGTTGTTGCATGAACCCGTGGCTTGCGGATGTTTTTTAGTTCAACGTTGTATGCGGGTTCCTGTTTTTACCACATCTTAGCCCCAAATTTCTCTGTGCTTATTATCCTGAAGACGTTATTTTTTCTATAACGTTACACAGCCTACAAAGTGTCTTCGCGTGTTTTCTCAGGCACATTGGCCGGAATGGGTATTATGGGTACATTTGTAACGTTTGTACATAGATGTGTAAGACTGGTTTTGTACCATACTTTATACATGAACGTAATAAACTGTTGTATTTCTGTACCTATTGTGTGATTTTTTGTATCTGTCCAAGCTATATTTTGAACACTTTGTGCTACCTTCTTTTAAGTTCAACGGAGCAACAGGTCATAGTAGTGCTAGCGCAGGCCTTCTTCAGCCTCGCAGTACATTGGCGTCAGCGTGTTAAAAACTCGTGGTAGAAACTCGTGGTGGTTAAAAACTCGTTGTAGGTAAAAATTGATCACTGTAACGTACTGCTCACCAAAGGATACTTTGCAAGCGACGAATTCCGGGAAGTCCGAATCACTTGGGTGAACTTGATGAGAAGGTAGGTCCTTTCTGACGCACAAATGTACTCTGCTAGGACCACTTCGACGAGATGACATATATCACGTAGTTGGAGAGGCGGAAATCATCATTCATTTCTGCCTCTTGGATGCAAAGTATTGGAAAATTATACTGCAGAAGGAGTTTACGGAAGTCAGCACACTTCCTTCGAAGACTATTGGCATTCCACTGGTATATGGAGACATCTTTGTAGCGCTTATTCATATGTTACTTGTCGCAGGTTTGACCCGGGCTGTTGACACAATAGTGCTTCCAGAGGCAGCAGGGCTTTTACTTCTGGCAGGTTGTTTGCTTCCGGTAGAGCAGACAGGATTGCTTTAAGTGCTGCGAAAAGCATTGGCAAAATCAACTGCATGACTGGTGCAGAGGCACGGTCTCCATTGAATGGTTGATTTTCTGAGGCCTGTTGAGAATGACGTGACGTTTCGCTGTTGTAGTTGGGGCGAACACTGGCACTGTCGGTTTTGCTACTTTCCGGCAGAGGTCCCGTGGGCGTTCGCAACTTTGACGCGTATGTTGGGTTACTTGAAGGTACTTCTCGTGAGTGGTCTCTCGAGTGTGCTCTTGGCGTGTTTGTCGACTGTTGTTGTGGTTGCCACTGAGGTGGATCACGTACAGGATGAACAATCTCAAGGTCTGGAGATGGTTCATTGGGGCGTGGTTTTCTTCCATGAATGAGCTCATGCCGACGCATTTTTGCAGCAGCTTTACTTTGCGGGTAGCCTGAATATGAGACAGCGTGATTACCTGCACAGTTTGCACACTTAGGCTGAAGAACAGACTTGCACTCCTTATGATGGTGTTCTTCTGAGCAGATCTTACAGCGGCGTGTGTTACGGCAACTTTTCGCCATGTGTCCGAATCGCTGGCAGTTATAGCACCGAAGTGCTGGACCAAGATATTCTTCCACTGGGTGACTGGTGAATCCTAAGTAGATTCTTCCTGGAATCGGGCGGTCATCTCGAAAAGTCAGGATCACTGAGCGAAGTGGACGCGTCGTTACTCCTCCATCTTCCTGGCGGTAGTATTTTATTTGCCGTCACGCCGATATAACCCCTGCATCTCTCAAGTACTCTAGGAGTTGTTCATCTGAATACTGCAGAGGAACATGTTTTACTTTCCCAACGTTCCGAGTGTATGACTCTGGGATGAAAGGCTTAACTTCCAAGCCACCTACATTTGAAAGCATCAGAAGCCGCTTGGCTGAACTTAAGGAAGCAACGCTGACACTAAAGCTTCCATCTCTGGTCGTTCTGAATGACTGCACTTTTTCTTTAGCAGCGGAAACTACTTCAGCTGACACTCGACTGGGGTTCACTTTCCAGAAACTAGCACCTTCAGCTGTTGGACGAAAGACGACTGGGATACCCTCTGCTCGTTTCTTTTTATAAGTAACCAACGTAAATGGTTCATCTTCGCCCATGTCTTCTTCATCACTTAGGTAATAAGTTGACGTTTTATCGTCGAGAGGATTCTCTTCTAAGCGAGGCTTCTTGCTCTCAGCTTTATCGTCTTCCAATGCTGCTGTGCTCGCTGGAGCCATTTCGCGGTTGTGAATTTGCAAACGTGCCGGCTTTATGATGCTTGGACGCACCTGTAAGCCCCCCAGGCTTTTCATTGTGTCCTGCAGTATCACTCATGTGGTTTAACGCACTTGGACGAGCATAAGGCTCGTGGCGATGGCTACCAACCACCGTAGTGGTCGCGTACTAGCCAAGTCTTTGATAACGGAATCTCGTACCTGTAGGGCACCGAGCCCTCGAAGTCTTCACCCGGCGTCTTGTTGGCACACCGCGAAGAAATGGATGTCAGCGTAATCGGTGCAGGAGCTCGATCGCATATGTCCGACGCCACTCGCGCCTCGGCTCGCTCTCGAGCCGATCTTCGCGCGTCCGCACTGGTCGGCACCTAGAGCGTCCGAGCTCCCTGAAGTAGTAGTAGTAGTAAACAACTTTATTAAGGCAGCTGACGGTTTCCTAAGTGGCGAGGGCTGTCAGGCCATGCCTGGTCGCCACCTCGTCAGCGCGTTTGATGGCCCGGAGCTGGGCGGCCAGGCTTGTAGTCTTGAGGATTCTCTCAAGTAAATATTGTAAGTTAGTCTATGGCTGCGCGCCATCACGGTCGTTCATTTGTCCTCGGCCGGCAGAATAATACGTAGACGTGAAATGTAGGCGCAGCACTTCAAGGTGTTTTTACGTACAATCGTGATCAATATGAGCTCGAACGTGTGAGCGCGTGGCGAATAGCCTCAAAACCGAGATAACGTCGTACGTGGATGGCGCTGCCGAAACCGGCGGGCAAAGGAGGGGTGCTCTTCCATTAGCTGTTTTCACTCCCGCTTTCCTGGCGTTGCTTCAAAACGGCAAACGGCAGCTTATTGCGGGCCATCGGCCGCTAGCAATGATAAGAGATTAAAGCATGCAGAACGTCGTAAATCTGTTCCCTAGAGTTCGGCGCAAAAAACACCCCTGCATCCCTTCACTTGCTAGCGGAGAACGTCTTGCAAAGATGCCACCTTGGGTACTTTAGCGCTAGCGTAGAAAAAAAAAAACAGTATTGTTGTTTATAATTACTGTGCAGTTTGCTGGTCTCGTGGTCCGAGAAAAGTCGCACGCTGTAGTTGGTTGAAAACATTTATTGGATGTTCCCAAAATTATAACAAAGTTTTAATGCAGACAGTTTCTCAGCTAGCTTGCCCTTTTTATAGGCGTTTACTGGTCTAATAATGGGTCATGGCTCCACCGGCTTGAATCATGGCTTCCATTTTTTTTCTGGCAGATACCTGTAGAGAGCCTCCATGAAGGATGTGTCAGCTTGAATATGGTTCCGCTCATCTTGTAGAGCTTCCCACAGTTAATCAGCTGTCACCATGTCCAAAAAAGCCTATAGAAAGGATTGCCTTCATACGTGCTCAGACGTGTTAATATGTTCATGTCCGCACCGTTCACGCACCACTCAAGGCGCATTACCCCTCACTCATCTAAAACACGTGCGACGTCCTATGCTGTATGCTCGAGAGACGAGCCCTGCTAGAATAAATAGCATCCATCCAGGTGTGGGCCATTCAGTATATATGGAATCAACTTGTGCTCCAGCAGCGTGCAATACGCATCACTTGTGAATCTCCCGGAGAATCTCGCAAGGGGACTTAGGCCGTCACGCCAGATAGCTGCCCAAACGTTTACCGATGTGCGACCACTTGCGGCTACCTCCTTGATGTTCTGCGGACAAAAGCGCATGTTCTCCATGCGCCACACTCTTGTCTCCTGGTCCCAGTGGCTAGAGAAAGTTGATTCGTCGGAGAAGAGGACATATTTCTAGTCCTCCACCACACAGCCACGGTGATCGACCGTGAACGTTAGGCGAGCCGTTTTGTTGGAACATGTGAGAAGGGGCTTTTGAGCGGCGATGCGACGTCGCAGCGCGGCTTCCCACAGCCTCCGCCGTATCGTGCGGTCACTTCCATTCGTAAGGTCTAGAGTATAAATCTTTCACACTTAAAAATGGTCTCTCGCTGACTACATCAAAAACTTGCAGATCTTGGTCCAACGACGTGGCATGGGGTCGCCTTTTGTGCGGTGCATCCTTAATTGATCCTTCATCTCGATACGCTTGGACTATCCTGTTGACAGTGCTGAAATTACAGCCTGTGAAGGTAGCAATGCTGCACTGCAAGTCACCTTTCGGTGATAAGTGAACGACTTCTTCTCGCTTATGCATAGACACTCGTGACATGTTTAGGCACTGGGACCCAGAACAATATTAGGCAAAAACGGCTGTGGTCTGCGATATTGCTAATTAAAAAAAAAGATAATGAAAAGAGCGTATCAAAATGACCAGCCAACTCCACCTAGACTTGATAAAAGCATGGCCTGTGCATCACGGGAGACTACGTCACAGCCGATATCGCGGCAGCTATATAAATTGATACGACACTGGATGTAGCTGTGTGCGATGATGTGAATTGATATCGCCGCTAGAGGCTTCGGACATACTACAAGCTGCCGTTTTGCCCCTACGATATCGAGACGGGAGTGTCAGCAGCTCACGGAAGCGCGGCGCCCTTTCCATTTTGTTTCCGACAGCGGCCGCTGCGAATCGACCGATGTAGGGTTCGAGGCTATTTTCCAGGCGCTCGCATGTTCGAACTCGTATTGCTCACAATAGTACGCACGCACGCACGCTCGTACACACACGCTGATAAGCCCTATGCCATGATAACCGTCGAACCACGGGTCGCCTGCGCCCGCGGCGTTGACACGTTTCTCGTCAGACAGTTTGCCGCTTTGCTACTTGCGCAGTTGAACTGCCGACCGGTATAGCTAAGGAGTTCAAAGATGCAGCCAGCAATGTACTCGCATGTG